TCTATTCATTCTGATATACCACAAAGAAAACCAACCTAAAATAAACAAAGTACAAGTTGCCTGAGCACAAACAAAACTGAAGACACTAATTTTGAAGAATGAAACATAATCCTTTAATTGACTGGTTATGAACAAAGCTTGGACTCAGTAAAAATATTTATCAACTCTCAAAGATGGCCAATAAAAAACTTTGCCACAGGAATTCCTGAAATTTTCCTGCTTCAATGAGCCTGAGTCATGAAATTTAGCCAAAGTATTTTATTTCACATTTTCTACACACAGAAGAGTGAAATCAGTTCCGGGCACTCTGTACAAGCCTCAAGACCTTAAAATGTACCCATTACCAATATCCCAACAAATGTAAACTTTAAAAATACAAGAAAAGGAACTAAAATACACTCATTCTGCATTCGGCAAAGCTTAGTGGATTCTCTGAACTCCTTAATGGCATGTCCTAGAATAATGTTAAGAAAACGTGTGGTTTAAAAAAATAAAAAATAAAAAAAAGGTATGCTCCATAAAAGCTAATTAGCTGCTCGTCCAACAATTGCAGAGTATTTTTATAGCTGTTATCAATTACTATCTTCTCTTTGGGGAGAAAATTAAACCAAAAGGACCTAAAATGAGAAGAAATGAGGTGAACCCTACCTAAAAGCTCAGAGCCTTTTGCTACATGACCTCTTCTTTCAGTGTCTGATCATGTATTAATAATTTCTATCTTCAGTCTTATACATTCAGGAAAAAAAGGTATTAATATAATTTTAATTGGAGACATACTATTAAAGGGAATATAATTAGAAAAAATTAATATTTTCATATCCCTGACTCTTTCACAAAACTTTCCTACAAAAAAACACTCACACAAGTGTAACTTAAGGATATTCTCAAAAGCACTGTTCTTAGTATAAAAAAATGGGAAGCAACACAAATGTCCAACAATAGGCAATTGCTTAAATGAGCTGATACAGTACTATACCGCCAGGATGCTCCGTATACGTGGCCATGCAAACATTTTCAAGATACATTAAGTTAAAAACAAAAACCAAGCTGAAAGTTGTTAGTATTACCCCAGTTATTAATTATTACAATAGTAAATATATTTTAATATAGAGAAGTTTTGGCAGTTTCTCCAGAATATAAGATTACAGTGTACTTTAATTTTCAAGACTATATATTTCTGTAAGTCTGAATGTTGAATAATAGTGTATAATCAGAAAAAAAATAAAGTTTTAAGTTAGTGATATTAGTAGAGTGAATGAAGTAGGAGAAAATCTTATGTATAAAGAAAAGGAAAACTTAAGGTGTTAAAACTGTAATATAATAGCTCTAAAATGTCATTTGTCTGTACCTCTCTTTTGGAAGAGAGCTATATCTTTATTCTCAGAACTTCAAAATTAAGCAACTAACACAGAGATACTGGAAAAGCCCCCTTAGCATCGTCTGTTACTCATAGCTTCTCAGAATAAAAGTTCAGCCCAAATTCCAGTATTTATCAATTTCCTCACCTGCAAAATGAAAAGAAACTGGGAATAAAAGTCTCTGATCCCTTTCAGCTCTAAAATTCTGAAAACAGGCCTTTACTCTGTCCTTGCCAAAGAATTTCTTTTAAAATATGCATGTACGTAACATAAAATATAAGGTATAAAGTTATAAGCTACTACCCAAAAACATCAGACTCCTGCCTGGCTTGCCTTCATCCTAAATTCCATTCCCCAAAAGAAACTTCTTCAACTCTTCGAGATGTTTCTTCTAGTAATTACTTCCATATTTGTATATCACACACTTACATTGCTATTTCCTAAATTTTTTTTCAATTTTAGACATTACCAAAAGTTCTTTATTTAATCTATTGGGGGCATTTATTCACCCAACCCACCCACCTTGCTAGGTACAGCCACAATGTTGACATGCAAAGGATATAAATATTACGTACACATATAGAGGTATACAGTTCTGTCTCCAATTATGGACAGTCTGTTTAATAAGAAATAAGATCCCATTTCACAACCAAACACTTCACAAAAATTAAAACAGAGCCCTGGCCAGTTTGGCTCAGCAGTTAGACTGTTGGCCTGCGGTCCAGAGAGACCAGGGTTCAGTTCCCGCTGAGGGCACGTACCTCAGTTGCGGTTTGTCCCCGGCCTCAGTTGGGGTCGTGCAGGAGGCAGCCACTCGATGTGTCCCTTTCACATCGATGTTTCTCTCTCTCTCTTCCTCTATCTTCCTCCCACTCTACCTGAACAAAAATGGAAAAATGTCCTCAGGTAAGGATTAAAAAAAAAAAAAATTAAAACACAGCCTTATCTAAATCAGAAATCCTGAATTCAGGTCTGAGTCCACCACATACAGGACCCAAATATGCATCCAAATGTTCCTTATTTTCTCTGAATCTCATCTGTTTTCCTCTTGTGTAGTCTGAATATAACAGCACCCACTTACAAAACAGTTAAGTCACAAAGCTAAAATATTGCACATGTCAAAACACTTTGTTAATCATAAAGCACTACAAAAATGTTATTTTCTGTTATTGTCTTTACTAAGAGAGCCCCATAAATGCAGTCCCTGGAGTTACTGGTCACTCTTGAGCACTGTTCCCCTACGTAGGCTAAAAACTAAGAGTTTGAAGTAGCTGAGAGTAAGAGTGAAGTAGACTGCCCTGGCTGATGTTGCGCAATGGTTAGAGCATCAGCCCACGAACCTCAGGGTTGTGGGTTTGATTGCCAATCAAGGGCATGTACCTAGGTTGCAGGTTAGATCCCCAGTTGGGGCATATGTGGGAGGCAATCAGTCAACGTGTCTCTCTCATATCACTATTTCTCTCTCTATCTCTCTCCCCCACCCCTCCCTTCCACTCTCTCTAAAAATCAGTGAACAAAATATCCTCAGGTGAGGATTAAAAACCAACAAACAAAAAAAGAATGAAGTAGATGTAAATTGTGTTCCAAGGTCAGAATCTGAGAGTCCAATTCTTTAAAGGACCCATGTATTGCCGTATGAGACAAATGAACACAAAATATAGATGAAGCATCTAAGCAGAGACCCAAGAGAGCAATTTTGTTTTATATTTGCAGATAGAGAGCTTTCTTATCAAATTTTCTTTTTTAAATACAAGAACATAATTTTAAAAGTCACTCCTTAGACAACTCTTTTTTGTCTCTTCTATTATGCACCTCTACATCTCTAAATCATGTATTTGTACATCTGATTCTTGATTTGTAGACATTTTCTGACTACCTATTTATGATAGAAAGAACTGCAGAGAAAGTGTTTTGAACCAAACTTGGGAAGTTATCATGAAGAACTGTCCAGCAATGCATTCATTACTTTGACTCTGCAGTACAACAGTCCTTTCATTTCTAGTCTTCAAAGGCCTACATGAAAAGTGATACAACCTATAGAGTCTCTATGTAGAGGCAAGGAAGCTAGTGAGGCAGGTGGGCCTAAATTATTAGGCTATTCTAAATTTCTTATGAATCTAGTTCACTGATGTTTGATTTTTCTTGCCTTTTCCACCTGCCCCACAGTTTAATCCTATTCCAAAAGCTATAGGACAAATGACAAATGGGACCCCATTAGTTTATTTCAAGACAAGCATGGACACAATTCTTATGAGCTCTATGGAAGAGGATTAATTGGAGCTAAAAGAAACCAGCCTTTAATTATCTGAAAATTTATCTAAAGCCAACTATATGCTGATTAAAGAGTAAGCTTATGGACTGAATCTCCTGCTCAGTTCTGTCCAGAGACCACTTAAGTTCTCCAAATGTGGACTTCAGCTAGGTTTGGGCAGTTTCAGGGACAACATCCTGTGTAGTGCCAGGTATACAATAAACTGGAGGGGCAGGCAGGTGACCCTTGCCAAGCAGGCAAGATTTACTAACTAAGGGGAGGAAATCTTTTCCCTCATTAACCAACAGGATAAAGGTGATTAAGCAGGAATTATTTTTCAATGACCTACATAATTTCATCAGGGCTGCTATCACTATTAGCAGAGAGCAGCTGATGAGATTAATTTGATAGCAGGACCCTTTTCAAAGAAGTCAGGGAGTAGTTCCAATTTATAGGGAAGCAACAATTGGTATGCAGTGTTTACTACTACTTCTCAGGGGCTCCTTCCCTTTGTATGGAATCTTCCCCTTTCCTAGACAACTGAAGCTGCAGCACCTGCTGAATGGTGGAGACCAGATCTGCTAAGAATGCATGGATCCAGGTGGGTGGGACAGAGCTAGGCTAATTCATCAGATCTGCTCACGTGATTCCCAATGCCCCCTAGCAAACCGGGTTACTACAGCTGCCACCAACACCTTGCTCTGGCTGGGCTTGAAATAGGGCAGCAGCTAGTTTCACTCTCTAGCAGAAATGGGGTCAACAAGGGAACTTTGTTGAGGTCGATACAGGACAAGGAGACACACACATACACACACACACACACACACACACACACACACAATAACAACAGCCACGACTTAAGTGCAGGTTCACTTGAGAACTTAGGAAATTGAGCAACAGCTACCAAACAAGTTAAGTACTTACACCAGTCAAGTGCTGCAAACCTCAAAGTGGCGCCACCTCTGTCTCTTGTGTTAAGTGAGGAGGTTTGGAGAGGGAAACTGAGCCCCAAATCTCGACTTTACCTGCTTTTTCCCCATAGGACCCATCTCTCTGGCCCCAGGGACCAAGGAAAGGGGTAGAACCCTGATGACATCTTTCTCCGTCACAACGAGCTGCTGGCTCTCTCTCTCCCCCGGGGTTATCACTGAGTAACACCCAGTCCCACAGCCCTGGGAGCCACCTCCTCCTACCCGCTGTGCCTTGGCCGACACCACGATCTTGTTAGGGATACTCCCACTGGGTCCCCCCACCTCAGTACCTGTTCCCCCGGCCAGCGGGAGGGGGCTAGGGGAATGCAGGAAAGGGACACTTCTGCTCTCCCTGCTCCCTTAACCCCCTGAAATGAAAGAATCCCTCAAGTGCAACTCTCACCGCAGCGTGCCACGTACCTGACCCCTGGCGTGGCTCCTCCTCCCGGCACGGAGCGGCACTTGCCCAAGTGTCCCAGGACAATCCACAAAGTTTGTGCCGGGTCCTGAGGACATGGACCCGGAGCCACCACCTGCGCTGAGTGCCCAGAGGAAGGAGAGCCGGCTCCTGCCCGGGACCTCGCAGGTCTCTGCGGCTCCTCCTGTCCGACTCCAACTCCACAGCAGGGTCGGGGAAGAAAGGAGAAGGCTGGAGAAGGTTCGAGGGCAACTTTTCCACCGGATCCACAGCAGGCGGCTGAGCCGCACGAGTCCCAGATTCTCCCGGCCCCCCTCCCCTCCGCACCCTTGGGGAGGGCGGGGCCAGTCCAGGGCGGGGCCCAACCTGCCACTCCGGACCGGGAGCACGCCGGCCCCGCCCCGGCCACGCCCTCCCTCGGGACTGCCGGCGCCAGGTGCCTGTTTCCAAGGTGAAGGAGGAGGAGCAGAGAAAGTTTCCACTGAAACTTACACCTCTGCGGAATGGAGGACAACTCGTCCTTGCGGGCTCGCCCTTCCCTGGAACTACACTCCTTCACACACTCACACAGGAAAATAAACCTGCGAGGTGGAGGAAGTGAGACAAGTCCGCAGTCGCGGACGTTTCAGATTTCTCACTTCCTAAAGAGTTGACCTCGGCTGACGTGCCTCAACCCCCTCCACCCGGTTTGAATTTTAAAATGCTAATAAAGTCCCAAGAGAGCTGAGTCCAGTGATGGAAATGGTGGCATGTTATTCTACTGGCACACTCCCTTAAGTGAGCAGGGCGAGAATGGGTCTCCGCAAACGTTACTGCCCAGAGGAGGGGGGCCGGTGTTGCTGTAGTTTAGTTTTTTCATGGAAGTCAGCTTTGTAGTTGTTTGTGAGTATATATGTGTGCATGTCACACGGTTTGGTTCTCGAGCACCCCAAACGTGAGTGCTCTTTAATTTGGACTGTTCTGCAGCAAAAAGGAAACTTCCCTAACTCAGGACTCCCTGGAAGATGTGAGAACAGGTTAGGAAATTCTTTCCCTACCTCTCTGGTTGGTGGTAGCCTATGGCTCTGCTCCTTGTCTCAGCATCCTTCCCAGAACCCAGACCACGGACTGGCCTGACCCCGAGTTTGCCCGCTGCCCTTCACCAGACATTTGGTGCCCAATGCCACGCTGGCAGCCCTACCCTATCTCCCCTTCACTCTGTCTCCCACTCCCCCTGCATGCTTGGGCAGCCAAGTCAACGCTCTGCTTTCTGGACATTAAATCCAGGAGGAGGAGTCAAATTCTTGGTTAGAGGCCCTCTTGGCATTTTCAGAGCCCTGTGGTTGGTGTGGCTGAAACTTGAGGTAAACCACAATCTGGGCAGGTTGGGTCACACCACCGCTTGCAAAGGCGGATGTGGAAGTTTTTCCACCGCAGCAGCATCCTGCTAGCACCTCACCCAATTCTCCTTTGGAGGAAGTATCTTCCTCTCTTCATTCTCCATGAATGGCATCCAGAGATAACCAAAAATTAGGTATATGTAGTTTCAAATTCTGTCTTGTAAGGATGGTAATGGAATGATACAAACTTCACGCTTCCTTCTAAGGCTGTCTACCACCACTGATGTGCTTGTGCACAGCAGCAGAAACACAGGGTGCCCTTGTTGCCAATACCTCTCAGGACTCCCCAGCTTTTCACCTATAACAAGTGCAGACAGTGGCTCCTAAGGAAAAGCTGAGGAAGGATAAGGGGGATAGAAATGACGGTAGAAGCCAGGAAGTTCTGCACAGCAGGTCAGCTTGGCCTGCCCTGACAACTGGAATGTGGGAGAATCATTCATTTATTCAAACAATATTAATTTGAGTGCTTTATGCATGCCAGGCATTCTTCTAGAGGCTGGGGACACAGCAGAAAACAAAAGCAAAAATCTTCGCCTTCATAGAGCTTACGTTCCAGGTGACAGAGACAGATAATAAGGAAAACATGTGGGCTGCCACATGATTAAAAATACTATGGAGAAAAATTAAACAGGGAGGGGACATGAGGAATAAGACGGGTACATCTTTTAAATAAGATGATCAAGGAAACCCTCTGAAGGAGGTGACATTTGAGCAAAGGCCTGAAGAAAAGTAAGGAGTAAGATATCTGGACAGACAACTTTTGAGGCATAAGACAAGCACAAAAGCCCTGAAACCCAGGCTGTAAGTGTGGGGAAGATGAAGTCAGAGAAACAAGTGACTCAAATGTGGTGAGGATTTGACTCTGAATTGAAAGTCTTTGGAGAGTTTGGAGTAAAAAATAACATTTGACATATTGTGATAGCATCACCTTGACTGCTAGGTTGAGAATAGATATTATTGGGTAAGGGCTGAAGCAGAAACAAATTAAAAGGCTATCGAAATAATTCAGGAGCAAGAGCATGGTGATGTGGACCAGGGAGATAGGCTGGAGGTGATGAGCTGACGGATTCCTCACAGAGTGGATGTGGAGTATGAAGAAAAGAAAACAAGAATGAATCTGAGGTTTTTGAAGGACTGAGCAACTGGAAGGATGGAATTGCCATAACAAAGATTGAGAAGACTTTAATAGAAGCAGGATGGGTGTAAAATTTTTAAAAAAGCTAAGTGGAAGACAGGAAAGAAAGGACACATCCATTGTTCCCTTCTATCCCCACTGCACTGATGGGGGTGGGGGATTAAACCTGCAACCCAGGTATGTGCCCTTAACCAGGAATCAAATACGTGACACTTTGGTGCTCAGGCCAAGGATCTCACCACTGAGCAATACCCGCCAGGGCCAAAAGTATGTACATTTTAAATATTTAGATATATATTACTAAAAACTATTATAATTTATATTTCCTTCAGCATGATATGATGCTGTCCAAGACCCAACAATAGGCATAATTATTTTTTCTAATCCTTGTCAAATTTATAACTAAAAATAATTGCCTCTCATTCTACGTTTAATTAGTATGGTTGGACTTATTCTTTTTTATCCTCACCCAAGGACATTTTTGCATTTCTCTTCAGACAGAGCAGGAGGGAGAGAGGAAGGAAGAGAGAGAGAGAAACATCGATGTGAGAGAGACACATTGAGTGGTTGCCACCTACACAACCCCAACTGGGGCCGAGGACAAACAGCAACCAAGGTACATGCCCCTAGAGGAACCGAACTGGGACTCACTTGTCTGCAGACCAATGCTCTAACCACTGAGCAAAACCGTTCAGGGCTATTCTTAAAATAAGTATATTGTTCATTCGTATTTTTTCAGAATTCTGTTTATTTCCTTAGACTATTTTTCTATTATGTCTTTTATTTATTTGAAATAATTCTTTATGAGTAGCAACCAAAATTCTTTGCTTATTACATATGTTGTAGATTTTTTCTGCTTTATTATAAATTTCATATTTCAAACTCCTTTCTCAAACTAGCAAACTCTGATAATTTATTTGTCCCCTTGAGCAAGCAGAATTTAGGAGAAGCTACTATCACAGATGGATTTCATTAGGCACCTTTCTTTTCTGTTTTCTTTTTCCTCTCTTTTACTTTAGGTAACACATTTCTTCTAAGACAATGACTCTGTTTCACTCCCAGAGGGCATAATGGATATTGATATTTGTAGAGAGGGAACTAACATTCTTTGGTGCCTGCCATGTTTCAGGGCCTGTGCTAGACACTTTACTATATTAATTCATGTTATCCTTAAAAGAACCTTAATGAAGTATGCATTGTTTTCTTCATTTTGTAAGAAGGGTGCTTGTCTCACTCCAATTCTGTGTTCCAGCCATAGTAAACTACTTGCACTCCCTGCAGTTCATCCTGTTCCCTTCTTCCTCTGGGCCTTTGCATGTGCTCTTCCCTCTCCCTGGAATACTCTTCCCTCACTGCCCCATTTGCCTGGCTAACACTACCATTTTCAGGTCTCAACTTAAAGCTCATAATAACTAGGAAGATTTTCCTGATCTTATTTACCTTCCAACAGTTTGGGTTAAGTGCTTTTTCTTTTTCTTTTTTTTTTAAATATGTTTTTTATTGATTTTTTTAGGGACAGAGAGATAGAAACAAGGATTGGCTGCCTCCTGCACGCCTCATACTGGGGATTGAGCCCCAACCTGGGAATGTGCCCTGAGGGGGAATAGAACCAGGACCTCTCAATCCAAAGGAGGATGCTCAGTTTGCTGAGCCATACCAGCGGGGCTAGAGCAATGCTTTTTAACAGCATGCATCCAGTAAATAGACATTGATTTGAACCCTGCTGCTTTAGAAGTTACAATAATTAATTAGCAAAAGTTAGAAATAAGTACCTTGGTTGTAAATGCATATGTTAATAATACATCAACCTTTCTAAATTGTACTTTACATTAATTTATCTCATTTTATTTATTTTTACCATCTTTAGCTGTGTTTTATGCAAAAATGTCAAAGCACTGAAATTAGATATCTTTAATGCAGAAGCCAGAAAAGATTCCCTTCTCTTTTACCTCCTTTATTCCCACTCGTAGTCAGACTAAATCTAAATTTAAATTACCTTCTAAAATTGCTTCTCTTAAAAAGAATTCATAAATGAATAGTATATATCCTGTTCGAATATTAATCATTCTATCAAGAAATTCTTTCTAACAAATAAATTAATAAAAGCCCATTGTTTTTGAATGATCCCATCTCCTAGAAAATTATCAAGTGGTCAGGGTCTACTCCACAGATGATGTAAAGCGTATTATTAAAATTCTGCTCAAATCCATCTGTCTTTTCCTTTAAAGTAAATCGCTACAACATATTAAGAACCCAGGCTCTGGAGCAGATGCAGCTGACAGACGGGTGTTCAAATCCCAGCTCTACTGCTTTCCAGCTTTGTGATCTGGATGAAGTAACTAAGTGACGTTATTGCTGGTTTTGCTTCAGCTCTATTTCTAAAAAGAGATAATCATAGTTTTGTAATGAGGATTATATATCTCTATATATTTCTGAGCACCATCAAGGTCAAATAATAAGCACTCAGTAAGTTTAGTTTTCAAAGCAATTTTTAGGAATTTATATAAGAAAAGGAAAAATTCTAAACATGAAGATTTATATACAAGTATTGTCATATCAGCCAGATTCTACAATATCAAAACTTTGGAAAAAATTTAACTGTCAAATACAAATAAACTAAAATTTATGTTCTACCCAAACATAGTCTACCAAATAGTATGATGTCAGTTTTACAAAAATATATAAAATAAGCCAAAGCAATCTTGAAAAGAAGAACAACACTGGAGGTATCAAAGGTCGTGAATTCAAACTATACTACAAAATTATAGT